GATGAAATAGATACCCATGTTAAATGATATTAAATTAGCCCCGTGCCTCCCTCCCCCTATTCGTGTATGTTTCTTTCAAATCGCAGAGTTCAATTTATGTCCCAAGGCATCAATTATCAGATTCGTAGCTTGAGTTGAAAGGAAAAAAAACGCTCCTGTAAAACAGAACTTACAAAATGAGGTCTCAATATTGAACACCAAGATGCATGGTAGAGAACTTAGGCCTCCTACTCATGCCACGATCTTGCAAGCAACTTTCAAGCATTTACATAGAACCAGACAAATGCTACTGCCAACAATTCTACTATATTACAAGCTCAAACAATTGACACAAGAGTTTTGCTAAGTCAAGAAACAGAGCAACGGGTTCATTTTATTGAGCACATAGTCAGTCTTCCACTCAATCTCTTCTTTTCTTCTTCTTCTCCTTCTCAGTTGAATTCTTTAACTGCACAACAGACAGATAATTTATCAGCGGATGGAATATGATAACAGAAAGAGAGAAGAAAAGAAAAGAAAAGGCATTGATGACAGTAATCCATTTCTTTCGGCATTTCAGTTCAGCTTACCATGATTATAAGAATTCGGACAAACACAGCAACAAAGTCAGTGAAAAGCTTCAGGGCATGCTTCACATAATCCCGATCACCAAGGTGAGCTTTCTCAATGATATCCTGGGTGTCAACCACCACATAGCCCACAAACACCAGAAGCCCAAAATACAGCTGTGAAAATCATCAAGACAAAAATAACAATCTGTTAGAATCAGATAAACAAACGCACTTACACATACAACTCAGAAAAAGATCCATGAAAAATTTCACAGCTGGTGAGTCCCTACCTCAAATTTAAAGAGGGCTGCAGATCCCCCAAAGATGGAGGATGCGAAGTGCAGCCATAGAAGGATGGACAGGCCAGAGGAAAGCAAGCCACCCAAGTAGAGATATTCTCTACGCCTAGCCAACATAGCTGCAGCTGAGAAACATCCAAATGCCACCGCTGTTCCCACAAATGCCGTAATCAGAACACTGACATGACAAGAAAAGCATCCACAGATCATGTTATAATGGGCTATATAGGCATAATTTTCCTAGAAACAAGAAACGTATCAAAGGGGTATATAATGCAGGCAATGAGGGTTCAAATAGAAGGACATCATTCCAAGGACTGCATGTTTCCCAGTACCGCCAGATTCACCTAAACCAACTCATACAGTGAGTGGACAGACAGCAGCCATTGAAAGACAACAATACCATTTTAAAAATCTCTATTCACAGAATGTCCAAAAATAAGCACACTACCATCCATTTTAGACCCAAAATCCACAACTTTCTTGTTTAAAATCTATATGTATACATAAAGAAAATTGGCAAAGTGATATGTACCTTGGATCAATCTGAATGGCCAAATCAATCAGAGGACCGATGGATGCCCCCTCAAAGAGTGCAGCTGCCATCAAGAGAGCAAGCCTCTTTTGCTGCTCATTTTAAAAATAAAAAGAAATGAACCTAGTGAATAACAGAAACATGAATATAGACTACATCAAAAGCGAAAAGACTAGAATACCTCTTCATAAGGAGACATGGAAAGTAGCCAAGTCATGCATCCAAAGCATGCAAAAGTTGTTAATAGACCACCAATGTTCCACAGAATATGGAGGTATGCCCCAGCGGCCGATGCAACCAGTGCACAACATAAAGTCAGATAAACCTGCAAATTTCACAAGTTTTGATTCTAATCAACAGTCTCATAAGAATCCAGAAAGCCTATTCCTTCCATATAAGTTTTTCGTTGAGTATTTACATATGATAATCAGAAGAAAAAAAAAACCCACAAATCTCCAAGAAAGCAACCTCGGCAGGTTAATTAAAAAGGACCCAAGAATCCATACACCTGAAGCAAATTTGTCCTCGATTTTGATATCAAGAAATGGAAAATAAGATGTTGGAAACCAAATAATTACCTGCTTGAGATGAGTCTGGACTGCAGGAGAGATCTGACGGAAGTTCTTGAGAGAGTCGTAGCTCCAACGATTCCTTGAAGACGATTCAGAGTCAAAGAAGGAAGCGAACGATTCCATTGTTTTCAAAGAGAGAAATTTTTTGACAAAATGTCGAGGACAAACAGAACCAAATCCCTAATTTTGATGTCTATTTTGGGATTTGTCCCTTTTATATATTGTCCGGTTGGAGTTTGTTGCCTGGAAATTTCTGGATGGTTCGAGTTACGATACTGCCCCTTAGTCTGATGTACTGAAGTTACAATTCTGTCCCTCTTGTGATCGACTTGACCCGAAAGCGTTTACCTGCTGAGAGAGTTAAATATTCGGTCCTCTTAGAAATCACATGAATTGTTCCCATTATTATATTTTGCTTTGTTTTTTGAAATATTGAAGTTTTTTATTTGTAATAATGTAATGGTGACTATCGTTTATGTTTGGTAGTTATACTGGGCCCACAGTATGCATTTATGTTATTTTATGTTTTTTTTTATTATAATAACTTTTTTCTAGATATGATGATATTATTTTATTTAAATTTTAAGAAAAATAACATTATATCAACTACGGTTGAGCACATCTTGGGGAACTTGATTTAGGATTGATATAGAATAAAATATCCTCTATGAGGTTATATTGACCCCGTGGAGGTTCAATTATAATAATGGGGTAATGTGTCCTAACACACAAAAGAAATTTAAATACATTATTGATATAAAACATATTTATAAATAAAGATAAAATAATATGTATGTGATAGATATATTATTATTTTTTAATATAAAATCAAGTGTTGTCATCTTGGAAGTGATTTTGTTATTAGAATAATGGTTTATGTATGATAAAAAAATGAATTAAAAAGATATTGCTCAATTTTTTTCCTTCGGTATTTGTTTTTTTTTTTTTTTGGTTGGTATGGTTATAAGGTCGACATTTCCAGGGTCTTCGACGGAAGTTTCGACACCATGAACATGAGCAGCCTCGTAATAATGGCGTGGCTAGTTTGAACGTTTCCCTAGCAGCAAGGTCAGACAGTTTGGCCATTTTATGCCCACATCTATGCACCTTGCAGTTTGACAGAAGGATCTGGATGTTTTAGAGTCCGTGGACCTGAACCGATTGAAAACTAGAACCTAGTCAGTTCCTTGGGCGCTTCCTTCTTTGCAGTTTCTACTCGAAGCAGAAGGGGGAGAGAAAGAAAAAAATATGGATACATAATATCCTGCGGACTTGAGCTTTGTTATTTATTTGATTTGTTTGGTATTGAGTGCTCATGATGTGGGTTCTCAGTTGATGTTTAATTTGAAAAAATTCAATAAAATTAAGTTGAATTAAAACAATTGAATCCCAGGGATAGGGTTTGAATACTAGACAAGTGTTGAGCCCTTTTTCTTGCAAACATTAAGGGCTAAATTGTATGATCGTGAAAAAAATTCAGTTTTTTTTTCTTTTTATTAGTCCCTTAATTTTATTTTTTTAATTTTAATCATTTCACATGGATGTTTTTTTTATATTGGACTTGGTAGTTATTTCTTGTTTTCTAGATATGGGGATCCTGTAATCTCTAGAAGAAATTCATACAAACTCATCACTTATAATAAAAGAGCAAGATAATTTTTTTTAAAAAAATAAAATAAATAACAAAACTCAAGATATAATAATTTAAAATTGAATAATAAAATTAAAAAAATTTAATTTTTAATAAAAGACCTAAAAAAAAAAGAACTAAAATCAGGTTAATATTCAAATCAGTAATTTAGATCATGAAATTAGGATTATATTATAGAAAGACAAACGTGCAAAAATCATGAAATAAAGTTTTAATCATAAAAGTTTTTAAAAAATAAAAAATAACATTAAAAAATAATAATGACCAAATCTAATATAAAAACTAAATAAAAAAATCAAGAGAAGAATAAGAAAATAACAATAAAAAACCTAGGGCTAAAATTGCATCAAAAAGTTAAACAAAATAAAATAATTAAGAAAAGGATAAGAAAATATTGATAAAAAATAAAAAACAAAATTGGATAAAAATAAAATGAAATAATTTTTGAGGTAAAAATAAAAAAATAAAGAAAAGGATAGGAGAATATCAATAAAAAAATAAAGATCAAAATTGGATAAAAATAAAGTGAAATAAAATGATAAGGGATAAAATTAAAAAATAAATAAATAAATAAATAAATAAAAACAAATAAATAAATTTCAAAAAATATTAAAAATAAAATAAATAACAATAAAAAAGATCAAAATTAATAAAAATAAAAACTAGAGGATATAATCAACTTTAGAAAGATTTGCATGAATTTTTAGGCTATTAGAAAGAAAAATATATATAAATTTAAAATTCGTCAATATATACATACAATTCATAAAATTAGTCGTGATATATAATCCATAAAATTAGTCGTGATATATAAAAGCTGACTGAATACCCATATTAATTAAAAAAAAAATATAACGCGCAACTCATAACATGATTGCATATGGCTGTTTTTGGTGGCTAGACATTAACTATTATCAAATAACAAAAGAAAAGAGAGAACGGGAAAATAGAATCATTTTTGCTTACTAACCTCACTCTGTTTTTGGTCCCTTTTTTTTGCTTACTGATACATACAATTTTTGTTCTTTTAAGGTGAATCAAATCGATTAACCAACTATATTTAGGGTTCCTATGATCTGGATTGTAGTTGATTGCTATCACTACTATAATAAAACACAGAGTTTATGAGAAGTAATATTTCTGAAACTGTGACATGGAAACCATAAGGGCTCAAGGTCTTTTAAGCGGCTTAGCTGGAAAAAGAAATCGAGGACGCCCTTGCCGGGGGAAAAAAAAGCTGTAGCAGAAAACAATTGAAAAGAAGAACAATGGAAAACAATCCTAGTTACAGTGTTTCAGAAGAAAACTGGCATTGATTCACCTGGAACAAGATTGTACTTGAAAAGGTATTTTGCACATTTCACAGTAAAGCTAAGGTTACACGTACCAGTGTTATCAAGCAGCCATAGTTTCTGCTCTGAAAATAAAGCACATTTGTACAATTATGTATTCATTCTTGTAATTAATTTAGTTACAACACACCTAAGAAATTCTATAATGAGCAAAAAGGACGGCAAGGACTGGCTTATAGGGGTAATAAATTCACTGATTTACAGCGGTAAAATACGCAAATATCCTATCAAAGAGCTATGGATAGAGGGTTAACCTAAATCAGATTAAGTTAAAAAGACATCCCATCCATAATCTGATCAGGGTTGCCTTTGATAAATTTTGATAGGTCTGGCAGTGCTTTGTCCATGTGAAGGACTATTATTAGTTCGAGAATCCAAGCTGAGTCCCTGCCTGAGCAGCTTCTGCTTTCGGAGGCTCTCATGGCATGGAGCCAAGAACTCATGCTTTAAGGCATCCTCTGCACTAATCCTCAATCTCGGGTTCACCGTCAAGCATTTGTCCACCAGGTCAATCAGTGAGCTTGGCACTGCATCCAGGAAATCTCGTCTTTTTGAGTTCAGCTTGCACCACTCCCATAGTGTCGTGGGTGGCAAAGATTGCATATTATACAGGTCCTGGGAAAGAAACAATGAGATCTTGAACATGAATTAATTTTCTTTTCATAATTTACGGAAGATCAAAACAAGAAATTGGAATACCACTGGGAATGAGGATTCCCGGTCATGAAGCTTTGAAATTTCCCATAGATCTTCGCTGCCTCTTAACTTTGCTATATCCTTTATATTCCTGATAACGACAGTGATATGGTTAACAAAAGAAAATGAAACGAAGTGCACAAAAACTCTAATGAAATTTTTTACAAAAAAGCTCTTACTGTTCTGGATCACCATAAAAGGGCGTTTTTCCTATTATCAGGTATAATAAGGTGACCCCAGCAGACCAAATATCAACCTTGGGGCCTTGATAGATAGATCTGAACAAGACCTGCGTGAACCGCAAACTCCACTTTATCATTTTGACAACCATAAAAAAAAATCAAGTGCTCATTATTGAGAAGTGAAATGTTTTTATCATTACATCTTGACACTTTACTTTCCTTTGGAAGTGGAACCTGGAAAACATATTCTTTACACGACACTGACCATATTCTATCCTACCAAATTCTAACTAAGACCATGTTAGGCCTTATTTATAACATGAGCTCGAAGCATAGATAAAAAAAATATTGGCATTACTCGTCAGATCATACTGTGAACAAATGAAGCTGTTATTGATTATGCTCATGACTTAATAGCCAGTGCACATTGTAATTATCTACCAAGAATCTTTTAGTAGAATTCTATATAAAAAACATGCAGACTCGGCATCTCAGTTGATACTCACCTCTGGAGCCCGAAAACCTTTAGTTCCAACACAAGGGCCTTCTTTCTTGTTCTTCCCATCCCCTAATGACAAACAACCTCATCATTGAAACAGAGACAAACAAACCACATTCTCAAAGGCACACACTATATGAAACTCACCTTTGTTATTAACTAAGCCAATGCCAGCAACTGCAATGTCAGTCGAGTGCAGAGGCATTGGAGTAAGATAAATATGTCTTCCATCTATTTTTCCAGGAGGTGCAGCAATCCTCTTCCTCATAGAAGCCGGAACACTGGATGCTTCATGATTTGGACTCTGCATTGCTTCATGCAACAAGCTGATAAGCTCCTTTCTACCATGGCATGGCAGAGGCTCTTTCAGCCTTTCTGCTGAAGGAGTCCGAGCACTGGTTGCATTCTTGACTGAGGTTACGCCAGAGCCTTCTGCTCCCTGACTTTTCATACTAGTCCTATCAGGCTTCCTTTTTCCATTCTTGGCCTCCAAAGTTGAGTTCAAGCCTTTTATCGTCCCCACGTCAACTGCATCCAAGAATTTAGTGCCTGGGAACCTCCTACTTTTAGATGGAGGAATATATTTGGCATTGGAAACTGCAACATTATTGAAGCTTATGTCATTTTCCGCCTTCGATTTGTCTGCAAAAAAAAATAATAATAAATATATATATATAAGAAGAAGAAGAAGCTTCATCACTTCTGATTTTCAAACATTTGATCCTAAGCTTTATCAAACCTATGTCCAGAGAATCTGCAATGGAGCACTTATAAGCTAAGTTTCTCCTGGGTCTAAAAGCCTGAAAACTAGAAGGCTTAGCAAAAAATGCTCAAAAGATAAAAGGTCAAGAGAAAAACATGCTTTTCAGGCTTTTTAGTAGCGAACAAGCCCACATATAAAGGTTGATTATTTCATTTTGCAAGTTCACTAACTGATTATCGCCTATCAATAAAATCTTCAACTGGAGACTGAATACTCCATGCTCTAAACTAAATCCATGTTAATGTCATGTTTGAATATAAAATCTCAGATAAGAGAAAAAAAAGCTCACTAATTGCTCCAAGCTTTTGATGCAGATCCTGTCAAAACACAATAAAGACCAAGATAAGTTTTCCTAACTTTTTCAGAGCAGTGAAGATGTGAAACAGATTTGACACGTAAATAGTCATGTAGATGTACCAAAAAATATCACTAACCAGGGCAAGATTGAAATCGATCAGATAACCTTTACTGGCCTTGCAAGAGAAAAGGAAGTTGCCAGGTTTTACATCCCTATGGACCACTCCCTGCTAACAAGAAGGGAACTAGTGAGTTTTTTTATGTGTATAATTTCAAATCATAATGGATGTGTTTGCAAAACTTCTCACCTGCTTATGAAGAGTTGCAAGAGCTCTGAACATGCAATACCCATACCAACGGAGCTGAAAAACATCTATTTCCTTCCTCAACACCTAAAAGTTAGAGCAAAAACAAGATCAATTAATTGATTAAACAAAGGCATATCCATTGAAGCATATGTTAATCACCTCCGGTCTGTCATGCTCAACATATGCCAAAACCAAGCAGTCAGAATCTTGGTTCTTGAGACAGCCTTCATATTTTATTACAAAATTTTTGCCCCTGAATTGGAAGAATAAACTTGCAGGTTAGAGAACGTGACACTCAAAATGCAACCGTATATCTTTTAAGTGAAACAAACTTCCCTAAATGTTTACCCAAAGCGCTCCAGCATCCTTAGTTCATTGATAACATGGTGTCTGCGAGCATTCTCGTGAGGGCCTGCAGAGCCAGAAAAAAAAGGGACTAGATATCAGTAAATGTTTTTGGATTATCCCGACAACATATATTTTATGCTGAATGATATGACTTGGCATTTCCCATTTATTAGATAAGCAGGTTGAAATTAAATGCATTAAGTAGTATTTCTAACGTATTTACTTCACTTGTTTGCAACTATATGATAAATGTAGCTGTTAACTCCTTGGAGTATTGCATGCTTTAAATTCCACATTAACTTGGATAGAACAATATGGTTGCTAACTAAAATTTATTTATAAAAGGAAAGATGCCATAATGCTGTTGAATAGAAGAAAACAGAAACAACAATTTACAGTACGACAAATGCATACTCCACGCTGTAAAGGAGCATTTAGATTTCCAAACTTCCACTCCCCGATCGACTCCATTCAGTGAGGTGATAACTTGACATTTCAAATTATTCCAAGAAAAATAAGAGCATATGAACTTTGTACTCAGAAGCACTGCTTTCAACATCCACAATGATTCACTTTATTATGATAGTAGATAACGAGCCTTGTAACCTGGGTTGCAACCATGATCCACACAGGAGAAATCCTATTATTATCACTAATCTATGATCATCGGTGCAGGTTTCGTGGAGTTCAAAACAGAGTTCACAAATTTTTCCCATTCCTACAATTCACCGGTATGAAAATGAACAAAAAGTTAAACTACATCATCTGAGATTTGCATTGACTCCTTTTCTAATCTACTGGACCATTTTCATGTCAGAAATTGTAATTCTGATAAAAAGTGCCAAACAAATAAACATTGTCAATTTCTCTCATCCTCAAAATAAAGGATTCTGGCAATCAAATGATACTCAAATACTTCTTGATGGAGATTAATAAATGGACTGTATAATTTATAGATAGTAGTCGCTACAAATTGTAGAAGATTAGCCTTAATCCGATTCTGTTTTTGAATTTTTCTTACATACATTTGATGGCAACTGTGGTCCCGTCATGTTTCCTCGTTGCCCTGTAAACAGTGCCATAACCACCTGCCAGTTGGGGTTAAATGGAATATAGTCAACTAACGATCATAATATGATGTGGTCAACAAACAAAGAACGCTTTCATACCCGAGCCTTCTTCCTTTTCAACAATATAAGAATCAAAGCGTGGAAAGTCTTTGGATCCCCAATCCTGAAAGGAGACCATCAATAAATCCTATCAATGAAAGGAAAACAGCTATACTAGCCCAGTTACTCTTAGAGAATTAGCTCCATTTAGGGGCACGCTAAACAAGTGCATGCGTAAAGCATATGAACATAAAATTTGCAGGATTTGAACTTACCTTGGGAGCATTAAGGGCACAATCCTTCTTTCTTTCTTTTGTATGAGTATCATTGCACGCCTGCTTTGATTTTTGTGCCATGCAGTTTTTCATTTGATCTTTTTTCCTGTGCTGGTTCTCTTTGGGAGGGTTACAATCGTTCCTTTGATCTAGGGACTGGCAAAGAGTCTGCTGTCTTGGAGACACAGCAACACCAGTAGTGACCTTAATCTTATTGGAGGGTTTTGGGTCTTTTGACAACTTCAGGGGAACACAGAGCTCACTAGTTGAAACCTCGGCCTGATTTTTCATATGGGTAGTTATTGTCTCTTTATCCAGAGAATTCAGCTCATTCCTCCTAAAGTTTCTTTCTTGTGGCGTATCAAAAACAGCATTACTTCGCTGAAAATGGTTGATGCCTTCTCCTTCCGTTTTACCATAATCAATTACCAGTTCTTCCCTGGTTTCAGTTCTTACAGTTTCAACACGACAGTCATTTATAGCATTACAAGCACCATTAACACTCGTAAGCTCCAACAATAATCTGCTGCTCCATTTGACATCATCCAAGCAACATGTAGTATTGACATCTGCTCTACTTTCAAGATCTATCTCATTCACTTTAGCTTCTTGGAATACAGCTTCATTATCCGACCTAGTAATGGGAAGAGCAGACTCTTCATCAATCTCACATGCCATGATTCTCTTATCCTTCCCGCTTTCCACAGCTCTTGTATGCCTCTCACCTTCTACATATTCGATATCCCCTAATTTGTAACTTAATTCACCCGCTATGGTTTTAACGAGCAAGTCAGGTGCAAGAATCAAGTTATCTGGCTGGATTGGCATGTAAGTTGGCTCAACATTAATCCTGTTGGCATCCTCACTTAAGTGAAAAGCTAACTGCATGATTTAAAAATAAGACATTTCAGAAAGATCGGAATTTGCAGGGTTGTATTATAAGAACCATGTCACTCAGCTATAGAAAAATTATCATTTCACCAATTTTTTCTTTCTGAACAGAAACTACTTTCGTCATTTTGAATATTTTAAGAAAGATTTCACAAGTTACCAACAAGTTTCAAATAAACTTGCTTTGCAAACACAAGGGTCGAAGAGAAAGCCTCCAGGTTCTGAAATGGCCATATAAAATTGCTAAAATAAAGCAAGCAAAATTTAATTATATTGAACTTGTAGATTTTATTTTAGCTCCAAGTGGAGAAAAAAATTCTACCAAATTGGTCAAGTTCATAATTATGTAAACCAGTTCAAAAGTTACCGTCTTGCAACCATTTCGAATTCTTTTCGACGAAGTAGAAACTCCTTGTTCCTTCTGGTATACTGCAAAGCAACACCGCCATAACTCAATAACCGAACCAGTCAACGACCGAAAAAACAAATTAAAACAGAAATTTACCATCTGCAGGATCATATCCAATTCGCTTCCGTTTCCTAAAATACATCCTCACAACGTCCTCCAAAGGAACCTTGGGCCTGCAGATTGCAGTCCGGATCCCAGTAGCAAACGCCTCAATCAAGCTGAGATTAGATACGAATTGATTCAAAGCGAAAAGACCATGTGGAGAAATGGTGACCAGGAAGCTATTGCCACAGTCGTCACTGTTGAACGTTAAAGTGATAGGTGAGTTAGGGATTGAGCAGAGAGACTCGATGAGATCCGGTGATGCATTGAAGAGTGTGCAGTGAGATGCGAGCTCTAGAGCTGGAGTTGGGTTGCCGATTGAGAGGAGGAGACCGATTATGTGCCATGCCTTCTCTTGCAAATCGGACTCGGTGGAGGTAGTGGCGGTGGCGAGCGAGTCGATGAGGGCGAGTTGCGTGTTGGAGGAGTGAGTTTGCATAGCGAGTCTGGGCGGGGAGCGAAAGAGAGAGTTAGTGTTTTAGGGTTAGGACATGGATGGATTTGCAGAAATGTGGAGGGAGGCAGGGAGGGATTTTGGAGTTTTGATTGTTTTGAGATTCGGCACGTGATAGTTTCCCGCCAATCTTTCCATTAGTTTGGATTTTAAAAAGACAGCTCATTAATTGTGGTGTATAATTATATCAGTATCAGTGCTAATATTCTGTATATTAATTGTAGTTTATATCAAAAAACAAATAAATAAATAATGAGCTACGTAGAAAATTTTTTTAAGAGCTTTCCAAAAATTGTAGTTTCCAAAAATGCTATCTATTTTTTAAGAATTTAAAATAAATATTAAAAGGATTGCATTTTATTACATGATTAATTTTGTTTTATACGCAACATGGTCTGAAACCAAGAGGAAAAAAAACAATATATGAAGCATTGAAATTCTTGGAGAATTGAATATGGTTTAATAAATAAGTCAAATCCAATCTCAAGCCTATAAATCCAATTCTTAAACAAAACTTGTGATCATTTATGATATTAGATATTCAGTAAAATGTGTTTGAATCCATTTGAATCAGTTAAAAAAACAATATTTGAAAAGTCAGGATAAAAAATATATTTAAAAATAATAATGATTATTTTTTAAATTATCTTTTACTTGAAAATATATTTAAAAATTATTTTATTTTTTAAAAAAATCATTTTTAATATTAACAAATCAAAACAATAAAAAAAATATTAAAAACTTAAAAAAAATTAAAAAATTAAATTTTACCAAACCATTTTGAAACATAATATCAAATTAGAGCAAAGTCTATGAAATTCTTTTTTTATATTTTAGGCTTAGAACACACTATACATCCTCCTAATAATAATTATAAATAAAAAAAGGAGGAGGAAAGGAAACTTATAGAATTCATTTTTTCATCTGGATGCAAGAGATAAAAGATAAAAATAATTATCCGCGAGACAAGTTTCCATCTCTTTAACACAAATTAGAAAACTATATATATATACATGTATTCCGGCATCTGTACTGGCCCAAACTACCCCGCTTCAGCATGTCTTCAAATTATAAAAAAAATATTATTTAAAAATATTAATTTAAAATAAAAAAAAATAAAAAATAAATTAAATTATTTAAAAAATACTTTTAAAACAGAATAACAAACATGAACTTAATTATTGATTGAGAAAGGTGCAGGGTTAAAATTTGAAATGCAAATTTCTAAACCGTGCGAAGAAAGATTTCAAAAGCTGCAACAGATCACACTAACAGTAACATATCGATGAGAAGAGATGAAAATATATTTGGCCACCTGACAAATTTGCAATAGCAAATATACAAAAAGAAGGGAGGAAATGGTTCGATGTCCCTTCCATCCAACAGAACACCAGACGGACACAGATTGTACAGTAAAATTGAAAAGAAAAAATTGTCTCCTAAGGTCCTTGATAAAGCCCAGTCATTCTGTAGATGGTGATGACAATGAAAGGTTCAAGAGGAAGCCAACCATAATTCCAATAAGTCCAACAACAAATGCAAACATGAGGGAGAAGCCTGGATCACTTTTTCGATATCTTCGTCTCCTCAGCAAGTCCTGTAGGAAAGAAAGCTTAGATATATTGTTGCAATGGTTCCCTTTCGTTATCCTACTAATTTGTGCATGGCAGTAAATACACGTTAGCTCTTACATAAAAAAACTCTTTGGGTAGGGGGATGGCTCTATCATATGAGAAATTTGGTATCATAAAACTGTTTCTTGGCATGAGATACAGTTCATTTGAATCCATTTGTTCTCTAACAGGGAACATCTAAAATATCCCCAGTGTTTTGGTTGTTCAGTCATCCAATGAACTCTTTTTACATCTTCAAGATCTCATGGAGCCATCTGAGAAATGAATTCCATGCCTACAAGTCACTTGATTAAAAAGTTCCTGCTCTGCTTCATTTCAGTTGCACTATCACATTTGAACAAGCATTGCCTGCAAATGTCTACTTAAGGATAATTAACCCTTAGAAATGGTGGAATCGTTATCAACTGAGTGAGTGTTGAGTAAACTCCCCACAATAGACTAAGGCTCATTTCAGGGAGGTGGTAAGTACTAACCATAAACAATTTCTGCATGGTTACAAGGAAACCAGCTGATGAAGAAGCATATTAAGCAAGCTGATATGTACTAGTGTGATGATAAAGTATAGGGCTTGCTATAAGGGTGCAGGTTTATTTCTCTATCACTTTATTGCCAAAACTAGCTCCAAATTCTCACACCAGTGACAGCAACTTGGAAATAACCTTTTTAACAAGCAAAGAAAAGCAAACGAATAATAATCAAATAAACCAGGCTGGATCAGAAAGTGCACTAACCAGTTCCTGCTGTAGTAGCTGGGTTTGTCGAACAGCTGCATCCCTTTCATCCTTCAGGCTCTGTACAGCCTGATCGAAACACGAAACAGAATGCTTAGAAAACTTACAATACAAAAAAAAAAACTTACAGGATATACTCGTATGATTTACCGCAAAAGGCATTGCACAGGAAGAAAACTTACAGGATGGTGACAGTTATAAAACAAGATTAAGTTGCATGGTGCATGTTGAATAACATGCATATATAGATGTGTTTCCTTCGAGTAGTTAAAAATGACAATTCACTACAGTTATTCACAGTTTTGGAGAATCAAGGAAGGAGCTCGATTCTAGCACATAGATTCAACAGCAAAGCCCAAAAAAAGCAGCTTAATACTAGGAGTAGACCAATCAAAACTGCACACTTTACACAGGTAGATATTTATGTACTGTGACAAGATGGCACCCACAACTGCAGAATCATCACTGTTTTATTGTTGTGATGATAATATTTATTTAAATGCAAATAATAGCTGGTTCACATGCTTTATCAAGTTCTATTTGTCATTTCCATACACCTTTAGGAGCATCCATAATCATTCTCATTTTTTGCTCAGGAGCACTGCGTTTAAACATGTTCAACTCTCAGTTTAGAATCATGATTTTTTTCTCATCAGTACACGTCAATATTAAACCTTTGTGACATGGGCCAATATGACATCTTCAATCAATCTCTAAGTGCTTTCTTGAAGGAGATTTTAGTTGCATTACTGATGATTTTTATTATTATTATTTTAAAAAACACTAGTCAAGCAACGAATAGTGATGCAACACCAACTCCAATGAACTCTGTCAAACTCCTGAGTTATGAGTGCACACAAGTCCATGACGGTGAACTAAAATAACCACACCCACAAATACAATAAAACTTACAGAGTTAGCATCAGGACTTTGAGTGGAGCCCTTCAACCCTTCATCTTCTGAGTTTCCTTGAGTTGATGAAGGAGGGATGTATACAACTCTAAGCTTCCTGTCATGTATCACCTTGCCATCACTATCCTTATTGAACTGGCAACAAAATCAAACATCATCGTTCAAAAAATAACTTCATTTCAGAAAGTCAAGCTAGTCAAACATGGATAATTTTTCTCCTTCAAGTTAACACCCTTACAGTATCTGGTGGGAGCTCATCAACATCAGCATGTGGAGGCACAATGGTACTCTGTAAGAGAAACTTATCTTTGCATTGCATATCTGAAGGATATTCTCGTTGAGCTTGAAGAGTAACTGAAAATACAGTAGTTTGTAAACATCTAATATGTTCTAATCAACAAGGAAAATTACAAAACTGTGTTGGCTGGCACGTGGCACACAAACAATTCCATATACTAGTCATAGATAAAATAATCATGCTTGGTTTGGTTGGTTACCACTCTACTCGCATCTTTCATTTCCAATAGGTGAAAGAGGGGAAAAAAAATCTAGGCTGTTAAATGATCACCTAATAAACATCTCACAAATGGTTGGTTACCACTCTACTCACATCTTTGACGTAGGAGAATTGTAACCTTTAAGTGGACAACAAACGTAAGTTCACAGACAAATAAAAAATTCCTAGTTTAAAAGGATAGATAAGTCCTATAAAAAGATTAAGCCTGGGGAAAAAGTAGCACCTCTGATGATGCAAGAATCCCAAGGCTGTATAACACCAGTGTTGGGCCTCACAAAGTACTTCTTAGGTGAAGTGGTTTTAACCTGGAGAAAATCGAAGTACAACAAAATGAATTTTTTAAAGGCTATATAATGCACAGCAATATTATGTTTGTAGATTTCATGTGCGGTTAAGAGATTACCTTAAAAGCAACATGGTGCTCTGTGTTGTTCACAACTTTAAGGTCACAAAAGCTTTGCTTTTCCAGCTCAACTGATTACACACATATAACACATTCTCATAAGTCCGACTGAACTACATTAATAAAATCAAATCTGAAAATTTTATAACACATGAATTTCTACACTTTCAAAAGGGCATTGGATTTTTCAAGAAGACAGCTTACAATATTCAGATTAAAGTTATTAGCATAAACATTTGCGTCAATTATTCATACTTCATGCCATCACATATTTGCCATGGATCTGTTGGCAATATAATTTAATTTCTATCTTTTGATATTCTTCTTTTTGGTAAGCACATCTCCTTAATCAAGTTGGGTTCCTGTGGATGAAGCATGTCTTCTATGTCTGCAAAGCTTTCAAGTTCTAAGACAAGTGGATCAGAACCAGCTTGGCTTTTAGTTAAACTGCGCCTCCATCAAATTGTTCTTCTTTAAATCCTCACCCTCCCTCCTTGAACAACTAATCATCTTCACTGTGTAGTGAGAGATATCACTTGAATACCAGGCATCTGGCTCACTGATGCAGATAAATTAAAAAACATCTGACAACAGGTTAGATATAGAGCATGCAGCTCAGTGCAATGGTCATAAGATTGCATAAAGGTTTGAGACTTGAGAGCAGCTCTTTGATAAAGGAGTGTTGAAACATAAAAGTCTTTCTTTTCTCTATTCAAAGATCCTGCTCCAGTAACAACATAACTGCGCAATGGTTGCTACATATGATAGGAAAAAGATAACTACAATGAAATGTCATTGGCTCTTAGTGAGGTTGGGGAGCTTCCTTAAACACAGCAAGAAGCCAGTTTTGCCAATCAGAGGAATGGACTGTTCATATTTCACTGCGGATCTTTCCCAAGTTTTGCC